GCGGCTGCTGCAAAGGCGGCGGCGGCGGCGGCGGAGCGAGGCCTTTGCAGCCGCGGCGGCCGTCAGGCGAGCGGGGAGGGCTCCGGGGGGAGGGCCGGGGCGGGGCCAGGCGGCCGCCCGGCCTGCGCCCGCGAGAGCCGGCGGGCTCCCGCGCACCGCTGCGCCCTTCCGCTCGGCGCGCCCTGCCGGGGGCGCTCTGCACGCGCTCAGAGGCCCCGGGCTCAGAGCGGCGGCGGCGCCTCCTTCCCGGTTCTTGCACTCCTCCGCGGTGCCGGGCCCTCCGCTTTATTTCTGCCCTCCCCCCGCACGCCCTCTCCAAATTATAGGGGGAGGAGGCCCTCTGCACGTGCTCTGAGGCGGCCGGCCCTCCTGAGTTTGTTTGCCCAGGCGCCGAGGCTCCCACGCCAGCCCACCCTTTTTCTGGCCCCGCCCCGCGTCGCGTCGCGATGGTGGAGGAAGGCGCTCTACGCGCGCTCAGAGACACCCTGGCCTTGCACGCTGCTTTCTTACGCGTGGGCTGGCGTGGCCTGCTCGTCTGGAAGGAGGAAAGGAAAGGCGCGGTGGGCCCTGCGCAAAGAGTCTCCTTGCTTTACCCCTTAGGACAGCCCCACACTCTCTGTTGCCCCCAACCCTAATCTCAGACCAGGAGGCAGAAAATTCGCTGTGCGTGCATTCCGAGCTTGCATGTTTCTCATGGGCAACGTCCCAGCCAGCCCACCTATTCACAGCCTCTTTCTTCACTGCTGCTCCTGGTCCAAAATGAGCAAGGTAATCTGCACATGCTCAGGAGCTGTGCCAGCCCCAGGTTTTGGAGGGCCCTTAAGCAAGGGACCCTCAATGGGCCCACTCCACTATTGCTCTCCAGCTGGTCTTGCTCCTTCTCCTTCCCTTCATGGTAGCTGCTTGCCAGCTGAGAGGCAGAGCACTGCGGAGCAACAAAGCAGCCCTGGAATTTCCTCCTCCTCTTCACCTGGACGGGGCAGTAGTTGCAGCCCCGGAGGAGCAAGACAAGGGACCACATGTTGGTGACCAAACCGACCTCCGATGGAAAGTGCTTGGGAAGCGGGTTTGGCCCCGGAGCCCCGAGGCACCCTGCTTTCCACGCATCCGAGAGAGCAGGCCCCAGTGCGTGGTCTCCAAGGAGCCTCGGGCGAATGTATCATTTTGCTGCTGGAACATCGGTTCCAGAGAGGCCCATTAAAAACACAGAGAGAGCCAAAGATCTGGAGAGGTTTGATTGGTTGGCGCCACACACCGGCACTTTTAATTCCCCTCCACGTGAGGTGAAGTAGCCCTCAGCAATATCATTGCAACGCAGCCATTGACGGGCAGTTGCTGCCCTGGATCCTCGGGGATCGAATGGGGCTTGCATCACTCTGGACCAGCCCTGGCACCCTCCAGGCCCCACCCGCATGGAGTCGCAGTCCGGCACACCTGGCGGGCCCCGGGACGCTGGGAGCGTCTCTTTGGGTTTGTGTCGTTTTGCTTGCCCCTCGAGTCCTGGGTCATAATCACTTGTGAGCAGAGTAAGTTGGTGTGTGTTGTGGGCCAGCCGCTCCGGTGGAGGTCTCTCCCCCACTCAACACACACACACCTTTCCTTGCCAGACTGCCCTGGCTGAGCCCAGGGTGCCATTGGCCACGTTGGGCTGGTACCCGGGAAGAGCGGTGGTTGCCACTGGACTCCGTCTGTAGCCAGACTGGCTGCTGTGCCCTTCCCTCTGGTGAAAAACCCGTGCCCACACGGGAGGGAAAGAGCTTTCTCAGTCCACCAAGCCTGGGATGGTCTTTGGGACTTTATTTTCAAAGCAGATAGGCTGCATTAAGTGCATATACTTTGTTTCCGACACGTGTTGTCTGTTCTTGTGTTTTCAAGTAGCACAGGCTTCAGAAGTGTGTTCCAGAGGGAAGGCTGAGGCATCGTTTCCCAAAGGTCATATAGATAAGCCTGCTTTTCTTTTTTTAGGCATTTAAAATCTTCATGCCTTTGAAAGCTCCAGAAAAGTTACGGTGCCGCGTGACATGTTCACAAAACACACATAATACCAGTTTGAACTTTTGGCTGCTGCCAAAGTGACATTTCAGTTTCTTTCTTCACAGCAAACAGACCCATTTCAATGAGATCTTAATTTATTATCCATTCTCTGTGTCTAAGATGGGACTTTCTCTTGTTTGCAGTTGGGGAAAAATGCTTATTTATTTAAAACTGTTTTACTCCGTCTACTACCAAGGTCTCGGGACAGTTTGACAGTAAAGCAGATAAAATGACATAAAATTCAGCACCCTAATTCATTTCATCCTAATTAACTTCTATAACATTAAATAAAACCTGTAACCTGGGGTCTGCTGCTGGAATGCAGTGCCACCCAAATCATTTGGGTTGTTGGGCACATTTGGGATTTGTGGCACTCCTTCAGAGAGGCCATCACTTCCTAGAATGCAAAGTGCCGAGTCTAAAAGAAAAGTGACTTACACAAGAATATGGCAGTGGCGGGTGAGCTCCAAACGGCGAGGCACGCTTTCGAACTAGCAGTTCCTGCACAGAGAGGAGCTGAAATGGTTGGCTTAGTGAGAAACCCCACCTGGGGCTCAGCAGCAGTCTTGGAAATAGCAAGAATCACTTGGCGGCGCACCAGTCTTCTAGTTCATCACTGCAAAACCTTCATGATAGAAAAATCGGGATCAATAGAGATCAATTAAGTCCCCAAAGGGACGCCCGAGGTGGTATATGTCATACTGGGAACCAAAATGCCTGTCGATGGAATCTGGAGAGCCAGTGTGGCGTAGTGGTGAAGAGCGTGGGACTGGGACTCAGGCGATCCGGGTTCGGGTCCCCGCTCGGCCATGGAGCCCACTGGGTGGCTTTGGGCCAGTCACAGACTCTCAGCCCAACCTGCCTCACAGGGTTGTTGTTGTGGGGATAAGGTGGAGGAGGAGAACGATGTAAGCTGCCTTGAACCCTTTGTAGGAAAAAGGCAGGATATAAATCGGGGGGGGGGGAGCCCACTTCTCCCCCACGTTTGCCCTTGAACCCAGACTAAGCAAGCATTACCTGCACACTACAGAGTCACGCAGAGGGAAAGAGCACCCCTCTTATGCAGGTGGGTAACTCTGTGCTCTAGGAAAGACGAGCACAATCCGATGAATCCCGTGAAGGGAGGCAGGTAGCATATAAATGTGCACCAGTGAATGGGGCCGGATGAGCTTCATGAGGCATGGGAAAAGAAAGTGGCGCCTCCCCGATGCGTTGGACTACAGTTCCCATTGTCTCCAGCTAGGCATGGGGGTGGTGGGGGCTGTGGTCCAGCATACCCGGAAGGCAGCAGGTTGGGAGGCCAACCCGAGTGGAAGGTGCGGCACTGGCTGGACTCCACACAGACCTGAGACCGGTCAAGGAAGGGAGACCCATGAAAAAGCCAGTGTGGCCCAGCGGGGCCCAGTGGTTTGGGCGGAGAAGATCTAGCCGGGAAGCTTCCCCCAGGTGTGCTTGCACCCCTACCCCTCTTCCCCAGCCCACTCCCCCATTCTCCTTTTCAAGTTTTGCAAAGATACACATGCAGGAGGAAAAGTGTCCACACCTTGGGAATGCCGCTTGGGGGACTGTTTTGCATTTCTCTGACTTAAACCCAAAAGGTAAAAAAAGAGGGTTGAAGACCAGAAAACAGACCTATAGAGAACAAAACATATCCACCCCCTGTAAGGCCCTTTTCCTAGAATTACACAGGGGTGACAGGTGTAACCTGTGCAATTTTAACTCCTCCCTGGCCAAGCAGAAGCATCTTCTCCTGGCCCTGAAGGTTTGTGTTGTCTCAAATGAGCATCAGCCCTTTTGGCAGGCCAACCGCACACCTCCCCTCAGATTTTTTTAGCCCACCTTCCTATATACATGTACCCATGACTGGCCAGATTTCCCTGGTGGGCCATAATCATTGGAGAGGGCCCACAAGGGTTCATGAGCAGCTGCTGGGTACCTGTGGCCCTCCCATTGCCCCCACATTCGGCACCTCTCCTTGGATACCGCACTCAGCATCTCTGTCCGACGGACTCCGTGTGCTCAGCGGAGCAGCAGGGCCAGGCCACCTGCACCGCGATTCATCAACCGACGCTCGCCCTGCTCTCTTCCTCCCAAATGATGAATTTGATCTGGATCAAAATAAAATCCATGCAGGGGAGAACAGAAGAGGAATCAACTGCGTTTGCTTATAGATCACTACAGTGCGAGCCCAAATCGATAAAGCCGATCCATCAGGAATGCCAATAGGAATGCCAATCTCGCGTACGAACATAACAAGGTACGACCCATGGGAAAGACACACTTTTTGGTGTGTGGGCCAAAAATGGAAGGGGGTTATTTTCCAGCAAGAGAAAAGCTCGTTCAAGGCCCTGAGAAAACTCAAGCCAGCAAGTAGGAA